ATATATATATATATATATATATATATATATCTGAAATCTGTACTTGTTAAATATTATTCTTATGGTTATCATATTCAAACAATAATCATAAATAAAGAAACTTTTTATTTATTAAATAGAAACTATATATATTATATTAAACTGGATCATGAATGTTTTTAGTAAAAATCAAATTACCTACCTAGCCAGACAAAAGGAATAGTGATGCCATTTTGATAAGTGAGGTCATAGGTCAGTGTTGAATCTGTATCATGTCATTATGAAGTGGTGACTACAACAGTTGGTGAAATAAAGTATTAAAAGAAATTAATTTTAACCAAGTTGACATTATATATAAAGTAAAACTTTCTGATCAAAGTAAATAAAATTGAAATTCTAAGACATAATGAAGTTTTTCTTTATGTTTTTCCAAAATAGTTTCTCATAACATAATTTTTGAACAAATACAAATTATATGAATTTTTTTAAAGTATAATGTAGTTTGGTTAAGTATTTCCAGGGTGAGAAGGAAAAATCTGAAGATATCAGTAACACTATAAAGTAAGGAAGAAGTTAAATTGGAAAATCTTAATGTAGTTTTAACTCTGTAAGAGTTGAGTAATTTTAATGGTTTGTTGGTTTGTAAGACATTATGATAAAAGTTTGTTATCCTTTATGAGAGAGAGAGAGCAGCTGAAAACCTAAGTTAAGGTAGTCGTTTTTTTAACTTTTGTAGGATAATGTAACCTCTATACTTAAATAACTAACTTATAACTATACTTAAATAACTAACTTATAACTATACTTAATAACTAAGTGTAGGGCCTCATAATACATTAGATGGTCCCTTAAAAGATAACATATCTTATGCTTAAGAAAAATACTGATTTTCATCAAAGTTTAGAACTTTTCATTTTTTCATCTCTAATGACTAATTTTTTGTAGTTTATAACTTAATATTAACTTTTCTAACCTACTAATAAAAAGCTAATTTCCTTTAAGAAATTGTGGATTGTCAACAAGGTTTAGAATTATATTTTAACTTGTTTAACCCTCTAGGATATAAGTTCTCTAATAGGATTTATAGTCTGTTGAAAATAACCAATTTTTAGCATTATTTAAAACCCTGCATTCAACTTTCCTCTCCTTACAGGAAGTTGATATATGTTCTTATACTTAACTTTTCAAACCACTCAGGAAATAACTGACCTCAAGGACCAGGTTCGAGACCTTATGTTTTACCTAGAAGCACAGGAAAAGCTCCAGCATGTTTCTGAAACAACACGTCAAGAAATTGAAGAAGGGCAAATTGTTGTTGGAGCAACAGGACAATCCCATAGCAGCAACTCACGTCACAGACGTAGAAGGCTTCGTTAAGTCGTTTATGAACGTCTAGAAACATTATGTGTAAATAATTCTTGGGAATCTTATGTTTGTTTGCACATATCAAAGACAGAAAGTGAACTCTTTTGAAATTATAACATAATTCACTTATGAAAGAAAAATTAGTTACTATCAGAATAACTTAAGTTCACAATGTATGATTTCTTGTTTGTTTACTGTGGATCTTATCTGGTATTCTTATTGTTTATGGAAAAATATATAAAAAAGAATGCTAAAATAGCCTGATGTGCTTTAATGTCAAATTTGGCACAAGTTACTCTAACAGAAATATGACTGCTAAATTTGTAAAAGTTGGTTTAGGTCTGACATAAAGTTCTTCATCAGAAATATCACTTCAGTTGGTTGAGATTAGAACTACCTTTACCATAAAAATGCACAGGAAACAAATAACAAATCTTGTAAATGTCTTGAGTTGTTAGCTGCTGTTATTGGATTGAGGAAGTACTGTCTTTAGCCTTGTGTACTCCAGTTTGTTTTATTATGCTCTTTTCTCGTGTAAAGCCTTATCTGTATGTTGTAATAATATATTAGCATTCATGTGTGTGTGCTGTACTGAACATCAAAGTAAGATCTAATACAGCTCTACAAAATCATTTCAGAATACGCACGTCTGTTGTTAGTAAACAGAAAATAAACTGTGTATACATATGTATGATAATAAAAATGGCTTGTTTCAATAAGTTACTATAAAAATTAAAATTTTTCTTTTACACATAAGAAATGGTACAATATATCATAACTTAAACAATTTGGAAATTTCATTGAACTGTACACTAATAATAATCATAGATGTAGTCACTGATTTTCAAAACTTTGAAGTTGCACAATTATGTAACAGAAACTTAAAACGAAATCTTAGAATTTGTTGCTCAAGCAACTAAAATTGTTCAGTGTTATGGAAGTAATAGTTAAAAAATACACATTTATTTTCATTCATGAAACTGATTTGTAATGAATTTTCTTTTGGAACTTGAGAGCACTAGCTCACTTTCACAACTCCAGTTTACTTGCAGAGGTTCATGGGAACATTTTTCTACTAGGGTCTCACTTCCACAATATGACTCCAGTTTACTTGCAGAGGTTCATGGGAACATTTTTCTATTGGGATATCAAGAGTGTTGTCTCACATCCACATTTTGGCATGTAAAGAATACTTCCTCATGTCCAATAATCCCTTTATGCTGGTAACATGCACTGCCAAGTGATAGCACCAAGGGCTGTTATGATGATCCATCCAAGAGTTATTACCAGAAACCAATTAAATCTAGATACAACAAATGATAAATTTACATTTTGAAAGAGGACAGCTATATCTTAATGAATGACAGGAAAGTACTGTCCTTATTTTGAGTTTTGAAATTATGCAGAATTTGATCAAAGCTTCAGAATTCACTAAAATATATATACGAATTGAAGTTAAAACTACCAATGGAGCTATTAACTAGCTATTATATATATAAAGGTAGTAATTCACCAGTTGCACTTGGGCTACTGCTGAAGAAGTCTTTCACTGAATAATAGAATTCATCTGGTTGGTTGAGAATGTTACACATAAATCCTTGGTGGAAATGCTACTTATATTAGCCATTTCCAATGTATCAATTATTATGGTATATAATCCCATCATAGCACAATCTACTGAAGCGTAGTTTGTGTGATATTACCCCATAGTGAGATTGATAATAACTTTTCAGAAATCTTTCTTATCAGGCTTTATTTTGTTAAAATTATTATCAGTCTTATTCAAAAGCCTCCCATTTGAAGGAAAAAAGTAAGAGTTTTGAAGCATCAACTATTCTACCTAAACTACTTTTGTAGATTAGTCCATCAAGACTTTTTCTACACGTTTCACATTGGACTACACAGTTGCTACCTATTTAATGAAGTCAATATTCTTTCTTACATAAGGAGACCAAAAACTGTACATAGTATTTCACATTGGACTACACAGTTGCTACCTATTTAATGAAGTCAATATCCTTTCTTACATAAGGAGACCAAAAACTGTACATAGTATTCCAAGTCAGAGAAAATTACCTATTAATTTGTAAACAAATACATTCTTAAATTATATTAGCAAAAGAGCACTGTCTCAGTAGCTTGAGTGATGTATCCCTCACCATACCAACATCCTTTCCTTCAGTCATGCTATTGGGTAAGTTCCCATTTATATTAAATGTGTGATTCAAACTATGATATCCCAAATGCATTACCTTGCACTTACTAAAATTAAAGGTCATATGTCAAATATTTGTCTCCTTACCAATTAATTAACCTTAAGTTATCCTGTAGTAACTCTGTAGTACTTTTACATTTTATTATTCATCTGGCTAATAGTCAGATCTAAGACTTCTCACATATCAGGTCAGTGCTCCACCAGATGCTAACGAGCTAAAGGGTTAATCTAGCATTTATTTGTTAAACATATTCAAACTACCATAATCTTCCTCTTTCACAAACAATGTTCATCCTGGGTGATTCATCATTGTTAGATGGCTCTACATTGGGAACTTATTTGTTATGTCAAACCCAAGATCTCAAGTGTGCACTCCAACTGGGCTAAAGGGTTAACCCTCTAGCATTGTTCATAAGACACTTTTTAATAACATTTAAACTAAAACACCTCAACATCCTGAATAGCTGACTCCTGACACTTTGAAAACTAAAAATATGTATATTAAAAATAAGTTATTCAATTTACACCTGAAGTTAAACATCTTTCATATCTGAACTCCCAGAGTGTAAGAGAACATGCTGGTTGTTTGTGATCTTTCATATCCACTGGTAGAGCTCTCTCAGACTGCTCAGCAAACACATACTGTCACTTTCCCTCAGGAGCTGACATCAAGCACTGTGTGATTTCTCCAGCTTGAGAGCAGGTTTCAGAGAATTAAAATGGTTAAATGTTTTTTGTCCTATGTCACGTGACTATTCTCACGCCCTCTAGTTT